TATAATGGTGGTTTAAATGTTTGTCTCCTCCACGACACAGTTCTGTGAGAGCAGGGACCTTGTCTGTCTTGCTCACACCTTTGTATGCATCGAGTAGGTGCTTAATTAATTGTTAACTGAATGAATGACTATGCCGGATTAAATCGAACATCTCCTTGCCCAATCAAACCACTTTTGAAGCCCGTCCCCCCATACCAGTGGTCCTGAGAAGATAACCTCCTCATGGCCAGTGTATATTCTCTTGTACCTTGGGAAGTTCCATTTTATTATTCTTCCTCTCTGGCCCTACATTGATTTCCTTCCCAACAAAGAAAAAGAAAAAGAGCTCCCTTCAAGGCTCTGATTTAGTAATAATACCAATAGCAACTACCATTTATTGAGCACTTACTATATACCAGACTCCATGTTAAGGAATTTTATAGACAGCATTTCAGTTAACCCTCACAAAAATCCTCTGAGGGGGCACTATTATTTTCCCCATTTTGTAAATGAGGAAACTGAGATTTACAAAGATTGGGTAACTTTGCCCAAAGTCACGGGAGAGATTAAAATCCAGGTCCTAATGGTTCCAAGCCCAGCTGTTAACTGCCACATAATACCACCCCCAATTTGTTCCTAATTGGGCATTGTTCCTTTCCTGGAAGTGTCAGGACACAAAAGCCCAGAGGAAGATGAGCCAGTTTTCAGTAACTCCACCCAGGTGACTCTATGCTCTCCCAGGAAGAGGGCTCCTTAAATCAGTAAATCGGTCACACACAGATTTGTGAGCCTTTTCTCTCCCTCCCCCTCTCCCTCCTGCTCTCCCTCCTTCCTTCTTTTCTTCCCTCCTTTCCTCCCTCCCTCTCTCCCTCTCCCCCCTTCTCTCTTCCCTTCCTGTCTCCCTCTCTCCCTCTCTCTCTCTCATTTGCTCTTGATCATTCCTGGTTATGGCTCAAGGACCAGCCTGATATTCCAGCCCCACAATCAGTTTTGGTCACAGCTGATGGCCAGTTCCTCTGCTCCTCTGCTTCTATCTATAATATAACTAAGAAAAGAAAAAAGTTTTAAGGGCCTATAATCTCTCCCCATAAATCCTCTCTCATCTAGGTTGCTTTCCTAACCTTCTTACCTCCCTAGATCCTTTGGGGCCCGAAGGGTTGGCATCACTTCAGTGCTACCTAGAAGCATGGCATCCGGGTGGCTCTCGGGCCCTCTCACGCTCATCTCATCTGGTGGCTTAGGAACTTGGTCTGAAGGCCAAGTTAAATAAACTTCACTCTGGAAGTCAGCAGAGTGGTTCCACTTAAGAACTCAACTTTCCTGTTTAAGAAGCTTTGAAAGGAAGCCTTGATTTTGACTTTAGAGATCAGTGTCTCTCATGGCCAGCACCAGATCACAGTTCCTAAATACCATTCCCCACAAAAGGAACCAGGATTCGTGGAGAAATGGCTGGTTCCGGGACCTGTATGTAAACAATCAAGGTGAACTTGAAACATTTTGCGAGAGGGTGGGGGGTTACGGTGGCCAAGAAGCAAGGAAGTGCTCAGTGAATGATGTGATGAAGTGGGCTTAAAGGGTCTTCAGTGGCCAATTCTGGGACAATTTGAGCATTAAAAAATGATGGTAGCGCTATTAAATGTGGAAAAAAAGAAAATTCATGAATCCATAGTGCAGAAGAAGAGAGAGCAGGCCAAATGTGGGAAAATAATAATAATGGGTAAATCCAGGTAAAGGATGAATGAAGTATTCTTTCACCTTTCTGTGTATTTAAAACTTTTCAAAATAGAAAGTTGGAGAAAGAAGGAATCAGCTTCTTAGCCTGAATATTCTGAGATCACTAAACCAATATTTCCTGGCCAGGAAGATGTGAAGAAAGTTGTCTCCTGGGCTCAGTGACCTCCAGCCCTTCTCCAATTCTCTTGGTTAATGGAACTTGTCAATGGTTATGAATCAATCAATCACCTAATGGATTTTAAGACTCTAAGTAGTTAGGTTAATACCAACTGTGACAAGCATTGTCAAGGACAGGGAGCAAATAAAGGTGCTACCACGACTGCTCAGTACTGAATGCTCTATAACTCAAATATAAAAGAGGCTGATACCTTCTGGCATTTGCACTCCTCTTTCCTTCTAAGGTTCTATATGGCACTCAGGAAAAAATGCCAGGGCGCTACAACGGGGCTCAGCAGGAAGCCTTCCTCCTCCAGGATTAAAGGGCCTGAAAGAATCGCTTGGGCGCCATCTACTGGGTAAATGCTTGCACTGCCACCTGGCTCCCGCACTGTGCCCCAGCTGTGCACAGACCACCCAAGTGTTCAGCTGCCCCTTAACAGAGGCAGGCAGCACGGTGCCCAGCACTGAGCAGGCATTCAACACATACTGAAATGAATTACTTCCTCTTATGAATTCCCTTCACATTTATTTAGTGCCAGTATGAGCTGTAGGTGATAAGAACCTAATAACAACATATCAATGTCTTCTTAGGGTCAAGCCCTGTTTCCACGAATGTACTGTGAACTCACGGAGGGTTCATTGTATTCCCTGGTGACCAGCCCGGTGATCCATAAGAAACGCTTCCTTCGTGTATGTGGCTGTGATCAGATAATATCCGTAACTGGGTGGAATGAGGACAGTAATCAGGTACCATACACTGTATGGAATGAGGCTTTCAGAACAAACATCACGGAATTGAACAAGCATAACTGAACCAACAAAGAATGAGGTAGGAGTATGACCATCCTTTTGTTTCATAGCATTGACCACACTCTTATTTTGTTTTGGTTTTTGTTTTGTTTTGTTTTGTTTTTTGGTCTCTCCTCTCTAATTTTCAAGCTCTACGATGGCAGTGACTACACCTGTCTTGCTCATCATTGCACCTGGAAGCATCCATTCAAGAAATATTTTTTGAATGGTTATGGGTAGATTTATTCATTAAACATTTTTTTAATGAATGGGGGCATGTGTGCTCCGCTTTGCCTGCCTAGTTGTGATGACCAGTTGCCCTGAGCCAGTTCTGCTGTCCTTGAGAAGGCTTTGATCCTACACATGGCCACCATGACTAATCCAACCAATCAGACTCCATACACAGTCAGCTCTTACACTGAGGCTAAACCCAGGACTCAACCAATAGGTACCATTTGGAAAGACACACCTACAGGATTTCTTGGGGCAAATGCAGTCCTTCTGTCTTTGACCTCGCACATGCAAATATTCTTCCCCTTCTCTGCCTTGTCCGATAAACAAACCCACTTACTCACACAGAGTGTTTAGAGTATTGTTTAGGAAATATTTGTACTCTTCCCCTTGGGATGGAATATACTCTCATACTTGACTGATTTGGGGATTAGCCATGTGACTTCCTTGGAATATGAGTGAACGTGATGTGAGCAGAGGCCTTAAATTTGGCTGTGTGTTTGGCTTGGCCTCTTGTGCTTCTGTGACCCACTCTGAGAAGACCACACGCCAAGTTGCCCCTTTGGTCTGAGCCCTGAACCCTAGAGTTCAACCTAGGCCAACCCAGCTGAAACCAGTTAAACCCCAGCCAACTCACAGACCCAGGATAGAGAAAAATACACATCTGTCCTTTTGAGGTTGTTTGTTACACAGCAAAAACTGACAGATCTATATGAACACATTATCACCACCACCCCTGAAAGCTTCAACTTAGAAATTCTGTTCTCTGACCACAATACCTCTTCCATCTACATGTTCCATTGCTTTATTATCACTAAGCCTGCTTTTCCATCTCATCGAGACCTCCAGTCCCTATTCTCTTTACCCGGTTCTTTTTGGTTTCATGCCCTACCCAACCTGGACCCCTGGACAATCATGTCTCAGCCAACTCTTGGATCAACCAAATGACTGCTTTTATTCATCTCTGCTACCATGCTGCCAGAGAGCATCATCCACCTGTCCTGGCTGCATCATCTACACAGGAGTTCCAGCTTCAACTGGGTCCTCAGCCTTGCTTGGACATGCTTTAAATCATCGCTAGCTGGTGCATTTCCTCATTCATCACGTGGCTGTCCCAAAACTTTGGTACTCTCAAGCCTCAGCTTCCCTTCTACTCTGCTATCATTAGAGATTTCATACCCTGCTTTGCAGAGAAAACAGAGCTATCAGGAAGAACTCACCACTGGGAGGTAGGTGAGTACTGTGGTTGAGAATATGGGGTCTGAAATCACATAGACTTAGGTATCTTCCTCACCCTTTGCCCCAGACTCTTGTATTTTGCAACAGGTTTGATCAAGCGAAGAACACCAATAGCACTCCATCCTCTATTTCTGCAGACTGGAAATATCGTTCATAAGCATAAAATTACTTAGACTCTAAGACCACCCTGACTGCTCCTGATTCAAATAGGAAACATGTGAAATAGGCTTTTAACGAAACGACGACAGTTTGTACATTGCTCCAGATCCTGACTCTCAGTTGCTGCAGAGGGGAATCTTAAACTGAGACAGGTTAGATTTCCACTCCATTTTCAAAGGATTATTGACTCAGAGGGGGACACTAATAAAGATTTAGTAATTCTTGGAGATCAAGCGGAACCCAGAAAGAATCCCTTTCCTGGGACACGTGGCATGCTGACCATTTGATATGGGTTCCAGGAATTTACCTCAGGACTCAAGAAGGTTTCCAATAGAAATTCATATGTTAAATGCACTACAGACTTAGCATTTTTGAAGCCTTATTCACTGCTTGCTGACCAATGACAACACACAATTGCTTCTCAGTGGACATGAGGCATGCTCTGTGCAGAATGCATTGGCTTCATTTAGGAGAGAGGGGAAGATTTAAGAACAGACAGAAACCTCCTGTGGCCAATTCCAAACAGAAGTCCACAATCCACACACAACAGATGGAAACACATCTTTGCTTTTTACAGTCTTACCTAGAAAGCCCTCTGGCCACAAACTTTCCAGAACTCAGAGTCCAATAAGATAAACCTTAGTCCATGGCAAAGCTGAGACTTTAAAGGAGCACACGCTAGAGATGGAGCTATGTCAGGGTGTACTTACGCATGCAGTCTCCTCCGTACCAGCCCGCGTGGCACTCTGCACAGTAGATGCCCTTCACGTAGAAGTCGTCCAGAGTACCCCCCCACGAGCCGTTTCGGCACGTCTTGCAGTTTTCAAAGATGGTACAACCTGAAAATTTTCCAAGCAGAAGGGTGTTAGATTAAGCACATGCAGGTTCTAATGGGCTGCATGAGAGAGGAACTATGGACCTTCCCAGGACCTTGTCTCAACTAAGGGCATCTGGACCTAGAAAGGTGCCAAAGCCCTTATTAAAAAATGCTCATTCCTAGGAAGATGCTAGAGGCACCAGAATTCAGACTGAGGAGTTTAGGAGGGTGGTCTGAACCATCTTCCTAGTTAGTGGCTGATGGCTTTTTTTATATATATATATTCCATTTCTGGTCATAATTATGAACTTTAAGTTTCAATAAAACACAATGCTATTTAAAATTATTTTGTAATCACTATGTTTTATCAAGCAAATAACATTGATGAAAATACCTCCAAATTTAAGACTAATTGACAGCAAATGCCTATTACTATATGAAAACCAAATCTAAATTACACTGTTGTTTGTACTGAAGGAAAACCCTCTTGCTGGTTGTAAATTTTTCATGTTTTACAGGGATGCCATATCTCACGTAACGTCAGTAACCTGAAAAGTACTATGAGATGTCAAAAACATTTAGTAATAAGCTTCCAGACGGATTGCACATTTTGGTTCTAATGCATTAGTTTTTAAAAAGTCTACATGGAGATAATTCACATACCATAAAATTCCCTCTTTTAAAGTGTACAATTCAGTGGGTTCTAGCATACCCCAGAGTTGCATAACCATCACTATTATCTAACTCTAGAACATTTCATCACCTTCCCCACAAAAGACCCCATACTCATTAGCAGTCACTCCCCATTCGCCAATCCCCACCCCCAGCCCTAATCCCCGGCAACCAGTAATCTACCAGTCATTTCATATGAATGGAATCTTACAATATATGGCCTTTTGTGTCTGGCTTGTTTCATTTGTGGCTGATGTTTTAATGCAAAATGAAATAACCTGTAGTAAAAGGTAGAATCCATCAAAACAGGGTATTTTTTCTCTTTATAAAAATATTACATGTTTATTATGGAATATTTAGAAAATTCAGATAAGCAAAAATAATTCAATTAAAAACACCAAAACTTCCATCACCCAGAGAAAATGATCAGTAATTCTTTCTATATATATGAACACATTTTTTTAAATTAGGCTTATACTACATACTGTACATTCTGTTTTTAATAACTTACCTTTTAATTTGATACTAGATAGCAACCATCTTCCCATTCCATTAAATATTCTTCTATGGCATACACTTCTATAAGCAGAGTGTGCCGTCCGAAACAACCTTAATGCCTAGTAATGGGCTCACCCTGGAAGGTGTCAGGCTCCCCCCGACCAGCAGGGCACACCAGAGAGGGTTGAGCAGACCCTAGTCAAGGGTCTCCTGAGGGGCGGGGGACAGCGAGGAAAGGTAGAGATAATCCAATCCCACTTATTAAAACGGAGCGCTAAGTTCTGGTGCCTCCATTGTCCAGCTGTGTGTCCTTGAGCAAATGGCTTAAGCTCTCTGTACCTCAATGTCCTCATCTGTAAACCCAGGGTTAAAAACTGTGCCTACCTCATAAAGTTGTTTTATAAATTAAATTCACACGTGTAAAGGGCCTGGCACATAGCAAGTACCCCCAAAACATGAACTATTATTATTATTCTGCATTCCCATAGCTCCTCCTGGCTTATCCCCACCATAGCATATAGCATGCTCAATTTTAACTGCCTACTGTCTGTCTTCCTGTACAGACTGAAATCAGGGGCTGCACCGTGTTCAACATGATATCCCCCCCACTTAATACAGTATCTGGCACATAATAAGTGTTCCAGAAATATTATTATTTGAGATTTGAGCAAATAAATAAATGCATAGATGGATGGTTGAATGGATGAATAATCCAGGCTTCTGAGCCATTCAAGATAACCAGGATTTCCTTGAGCTAATATAATAGCATACTTTTTTGCTTTTGGCTAAAATTAGGTTTTCATTGGCCTGTAGTATATACATGCAGTGTACATATGTGTGATTTCTGTAGAGGAGAGACTTGTAGCTCTCTCTCTGCACACCATCCTGACTTTGCTTCCCTCTCCCAGTGTCTCTTCCGACCAGAAAAGAATTGCTAATGTGATTCATCAAATTTCACATGGCCCATAACTGGGTCCCAGCGGTCCTTTAAAAGACTGTTTTAAAAGATGGTCTTTTAAAGGCCTTCTTCGCCCATGTGCCACATTCCCGTCCGATTTCCTACCCACTGTGCCACTAAGGAGGCCAATGGACTCAGAGTCCGCCCTCTACGACCCTGCCAGCTCTCAGCACAGTAACATCCGGGCCATTAGCTGCAAGCCACAAAAACCAGCCTGGTGCTTAAGATGAACAAGGCTGTGTTAAAAAGACGCTAAGTAGCTCACGGTATTGACAGGAGGGTTAGAGGACCGAGGTCCAAGCTACACAGCCTAGAAACACACGAAAATACACAGCCACCTTGCTCCATTGAGGGCCCCAGTTCCGCTGGCCACTGCTGGACGTCAGCACTGCCATCCCCACCACCACGTCCCTGGACATCGATCCTCGTGCAATTACTGCCATCACAAGAGAAAGAATCGTTGTCCAGCATAACGATAGAAGTGATAGAAATTCTTAAACCAGGCTCAGATCCCATTTCGCACCTTTGAGACTGACAAAATTCCAAAACAGCACGCTCTGTCGCAAGACTTCGGGAAAACGGTACTCTCATGTACGGCTGCTGTGAATGCCAATGCCTGGAGGAGAATTTGGCAAAGGCTGGCAAAATGACATATGCACCTCCCTTTGATGCAGCAATTCTTCTTCCAGGAATGTACCCCCAAAGATATGCTGCAAAAATACTAGCTGATGTATGCCTGAGGCTATCCACTAGAGTAGTATTTATAACAGCAAAAAGCTAGAAACAACCCAAATACTCATGAACTATGGTAATCCACATGATGCAGTTACATGCAACTGTAAAAAGAAATGGGAAAAAAAAACAGCTTTATTACTGTCCGTGAGTGATCTCCAGCATATATTGTTAAGAGAAAAAAGCAAGGCAGTTAGCAGTGTTTATGGCATGCTGTCTTTTGCGCAAGAAGGGGAAAGATACAGAAATGCACACACATATTTGCTTGTATTGTCAAATATAGAAAACAGATAGAAACAACAAACCTAACTACACATCAGGTAGATGTTATAACACCACAGACAAAAGAACTACATCAACTGGCTTTAAAACATAGTATTTTGACTCTATATACTCAGTGAGATATATTCTAAGGTGAATAAAAATCACTATCATCAGTGGTCTTATTACTAATACCAATAGTGCTGTAGCTGTTTTGTACAATTATGAGATAAAGCAAGTAGGTGATTAGGTTAATATTATCAGGAAACAGGATTTTCACCATGAGAGAAAAGACATACAAATATAAAATCAAAGAAATTAATTAACAACCTTGGAATATTACATTTGAACTTGAGTAGCAGCAAAAATTCATTTTAAAAAATACATGTCTTCCAGCTCCATCCACTTAAAAAAACATACAAACAAAACCTTGTAACAATGACAGTCCAATAGCAAGGCACACTTCACGTGACCAGATCGTGGTCTCAGACCAAAGTTCTTTTGAGAAGTGGCTGATTCCAGATCTGGGGCAGAAAATATACAAGAAGAGGTTAAAATATCTTGTCATGCGAGAAATCAAGAAGTCTTCAAAAACAGTGTGGTCATGTCAGAAGAACACAGAAAGACATAAAGGGGCACCCAGTGTTATGAGTTGTGTGCATTAAAATAAATAATGACTGAAATGGATTACATCATATAAATAAATTAAAATGCCTGCGTTCATAATGACACACACACACAGAGAAACCTCTTTGATCACCAGTAGGGACTGCTAGGACACCAATTCACTATTTTTGAAAATCTTTTTTTCTAAAAAAGCCTTTCTCTAGCCTCTCCTTTCAGGGCAACCAGATGGTTGATATGGGACAGTTCTTCACTACTCAGTTTGAAAGATCCTTCCTAGCACCATTGGACGTGGTAATATTGGGTGTCTCCTGTCTGATGTAATAAGATGCTGGGTGCAGGCGTGGCAGACATTGATGCCCTTCTGTATGATGCAGTAGGAAGCGCACAGCACTGCCTATGAAGGTCTCTTATTTATTCCACGACCTCATGCCAGCTCATTAAATCAAAGCCCCACCCTCATAACAGCAGTAATCGCTAGGCTTTTGAAAATATTGAAAATTGTTCAAAGACTTCAGAATCCTGCCAAGGACCCCTAGTCAGGAGACCCTGGCTTAGCTCTCAAAATTTCCTTAGAAAATTTGGAGGCACTACTCAACTATTTCCCTACAAACCATTCTCACCATCAGGGAATTGGAACGGTGGGTTTCTTTTCTGGATCAAATGTGCAAAGGTTATACTGAGGTCACTTCTATTTTTATTTATTTATTTATTTATTTTGCGGTACGCGGGCCTCTCACTGTTGTGGCTTCTCCCATTGCGGAGCACAGGCTCCGGATGTGCAGGCTCAGCGGCCATGGCTCACGGGCCCAGCCACTCCGCGGCATGTGGGATCTTCCCAGACTGGGGCACGAACCCGCGTCCCCTGCATCGGCAGGCGGACTCTCAACCACTGCGCCACCAGGGAAGCCCTGAGGTCACTTCTATTTTAAAGCTCAGCATTACTCTCTTCCAAGAAGGAAGATGGTTTAGATGTAACACCTGTATACTTAAGCCCTGTTTTCTCTCCTCTTCTATAGCTTTCCTCAAAAGAAAGTTCCTGAGGGCTTGCGCGTCCAGAGCCTGTGCTCCGCAATGGGAGAGGCCACAACAGTGAGAGGCCCGCGTACCGCAAAAAAAAAAAAAAAAAAAGAAAGTTCCTGGTAATAATGAGCATCATTCTCTGTGTTTGTAAAATAAGGGGAGAGGAAGAAATGAGAGAAGTTCCCAAGGCACTTTTTTGACATCCTTTTAGTCTTAAGTCTGAGGAAAGTGTATTTGAAATTCTCTACCTCCTCCTTTTGATCAGGCCTGGAAGAGAAAAGGTCAGATTCCCCTGGAAAAAGTCAGATTTACAAGGCAGCAGATATGAAAGCACCAAGAAAACATTCAGTGAGTCGCTAATCACGCTGGAAATACCTTAAGAGTGAAGCTCAGTGTCCACACTGCTCCAGGCAGACAGGCCCTTCAGTGAAGAAGGAAAATCACTGCCCCCTCTACGGTGGGGCCAGGGAATTGGGGGTTTGGGAGAAGGTAGGTCCGGCCTGATGTAAAGGCAAAGGAATAGGCACCATGACCTGGGAAGGTCCCGTCTCACCCTAGGATGCTCTCATATTACCGCGACCACCTCCCAAATGTCCAACTCAGGGCCAGAGCATCATCCTCGACTTCTGCTCTTCCCTTCACTCCCCCATCCTACCAATCCCAAATTGTCATCAACTCCACTCTCTAATCTCTCTCAAATCCCTCCACCTCTCTCCATCCATAGGGCTTCTGTTCATCAAGGTCTCCATTATTCCTCCCCTGCCTCCAGTCGTGGCCTTCTCCCAATCCTTTCTCCATACTGCATTTGAAGAGAAAATCAGCTTTTACCTTTTTAAAGGTTTTTTTTTTTTTTTTTTTTTTTTTTTGCGGTACACGGGCCTCCCACCGCTGCGGCCCCTCCCGCCGCGGAGCACAGGCTCCGGACGCGCAGGCCCAGCGGCCATGGCCCACGGGCCCAGCCGCTCCGCGGCATGTGGGATCCCCCCGGACCGGGGCACAAACCCGCGTCCCCTGCATCGGCAGGCAGACCCCCAACCACCACGCCACCAGGGAAGCCCAGCTTTTACCTTTTTAATGAAAAGATCTCCAATGTTACCAAATATCTTCAGGATGTAGCCTAAACATCATAGTACAGCCTCCAAAGCCCTTTGGCTTGGAGCCCCCCGTTCTCTCCTTCAGATTATTCTCTCAATCTTTGATCTATCTCTTTCCATGCTTCTCATCACACACACACACACACACACACACACCTCCAGAGAGACTGAGCTACTTGCAATTCCCTAAACTCTATGCTTTCTCTTGCCACAGGTCCTTATCACATGCTATTCTCTATGGCCTGACCTCTCGACTGGCTCCCCTTCATGCTTTTCAGTTTGCTGCTTCCATCTTCAGCACACACATCACCTCCTCTAATAAGTCATCCACCCTCATCCGCATCCAGACTCCCATGGTACCCATGCTTCTCTGTCACAGCACCTGCCAGGCTGCATTACAGCCACCTGTTTACTCCTCCATCTCGCCCACTAAGCTGTAAGCTCTGGAAATGCCAGGAGTGTGTCTTTTTAAAAATCACTGTATTCCCACTACCTGTCATGGTATAAAGGAGCTGCTCAGTCTATTTGTTAAATGAATGACTAAGTAGGTAAATCTACAGCATTATAAGCTTAACACTGAAAAGGGTACTAACTCCTCCAATTCCTTTGCCTGTAGTTAGAGTGGGTTGAATTATGCCACTTTTAATCATCATGGCATCACAGCCTCCTGATGTCTACCTGTCAGAATTCAAGTGTTCAGCGTGCTCCTATTACTGACCTCAGAAAACATGAAGGCAACCTGAGGTCTCCCATTGCACACTCACCTGGGTGAATCAGGCAGGAGTCACATTCATTCTCCTCGTTCCTGCAGCAAGGGATGGTATAACCCACCACTTCTTTCTTTCCAGGGCAGGCACATTTAACCTGATCGTATTCACAACACTCCCGACACATGATGTTCCACTCAGCTCCGGGGCAGCCTTCATTAATGACTGTGTACTCTGAAACAGAAACCAGAAGGTGAGATGGAGGGCCTGGCAGGAACAGGTGAGACTCATAAGTACCTTACTGCCAAGAAGCAACCTTGCCCTACAAACGTGTCACCCTGCCTGAAGGATGTTCAGAACCATCCACTGGGGCGCAGATGAAATTTGTTAAAACTGCTATTCATTTTTAATTTTTAACCAAAAAAAGAAATCATGTTTTATCCATATATAATCTACATGGATTGACACACATACACATAAATAACTTATAAACAAGCATACATTTCCTGAGTGTCTGTGCTCATTTCTGTTTTTGCTGGGGTACATCAGGCCAAGGCTTACAGCTACACAGGTTGTGCACTGCGCAATTCCAGAAGGAACCATTAAACTGCACAACTGTACGGTACAGCCCAGGCTCTTGGGCCATCAGAAAGGTTTGGTGACCACTCTCTAGACTAGGTCCATCAAGTGCAAGGCTGAATGCCAAGTAGGAACCACATCATTTCCTCCAAACCTGGCTCCTCGATTTTGCAACATGCCATTTTTACGGTATCTTCAAAGCTAAAACCAACAGAAAAGACAAAAACCACCTTAATTAGTATGTTTGGGAGAATTTCAGTGTTTTACAAGAGTGAACTCATTGGCAGAACTTCATTCAGTCCCTAAAAACAACTGAGCATTCTTTCCCATGAGAAAAAAAGTGCTCCTTTCTGGGTGGAATTTCTTTCTGTCTGTCTTTTTTAAAATATACCTTAGGTAATGAAAAAGAAAAATCATTTGGCAAAAACTATAAAAGGAATCAGTCGGAGGCTGCCCGGAGGAATCCAGGCTAAGAAACAGACCTAGCTTTGATTTGCTCTTCTTCCTGCCCCAACTCTCTATTCCTAAAAATTTTGCACAAAGATGACGATTGAAACAGAAATAGGTCAGATATTTGAGGAAGAAAGTGAATCAGGCTTCCCTAAAAACCCCAGGGAGGGATCCCCAACACGCCTTGTAGGCCCATATAAACCAACCCTAATATCTGCGGTGGCTTCTAACCTCTTGAATTTCATAGTTTAGTTTTCTGTTTTCCTCCCCTAAATTTGGAAGTCTGACACAGAACTGTTCATTCTCAATTTGCCAAGTAGACCAATTTAAAGAAACTCTCACCATCTTCTCTCAACCTTCTGTCATAAGAACATTCTAGCATCATAGAAAGGAACCACTTGCATAATAAGGGACAGTTCCTTAGATTGAATACATGTAGTTTTATGAAAAAATTCCTCTTTTCTTTTCTACAAACACTGGTGGGGAAGCAAAGATCCTCATACTGGCATTTGGGAACAACCAGCATAGACCACCATGATATTGTCACTACTGAGATTTTGTTTCCCGTTCTATTCTGTCTGTCCCCTCCAGGACAGACACCAGGACTTACTTTGCTGAGCTTCTCATGTTTCTAACTTGGCTGGATGAAGTGAATAACTTCTAAAATCTAGAAGAGAGGACTTCCCTGGTGGTGCACTGGTTAAGAATCCGCCTGCCAACGCAGGGGACACGGGTTTGATCCCTGGTCCGGGAAGATCCCACATGCCGTAGAGCGACTGAGCCCGTGCGCCACAACTACTGAGCCTGTGCTCTAGAGCCTGAGAGCCAGAACTACTGAGCCCACACGCCACAACTACTGAAGCGCATGCACCTAGAGCCCGTGCTTCGCGACAAGAGAAGCCACTGCAATGAGAAGCCCATGCACCGCAACGAAGAGTAGCCCCCGCTCACAGCAACTAGAGAAAGCCTGCACCGAGCAACAGATCCAATGCAGCCAAAAACAAATAAATAAATTTATTAAAAAAAAATCTAGAAGAGAACTTAATGGCTAAGAGTAAAAGAAAGTAGAAGAAAACATAGGAGTAAATCTCCATGATCTTAGACTTGTTATGATCTTGGATTCTTAGATGTGACACCAAAAACGACAAAAGAAAAACAGATAAATTGGATTTATCAAAATTAAAAACTTTTGTGCAACAAAGGAAAGTGAAAGGACAACCTACAAAATGGAGGGAAATTTGGAAATCATATGTCTGATAAGGATTTAATATCCAGAATATGTAAACGACCCTTACAACTCAACCACAAAAAGACAAACAACCCAATTTTTAAAAGGGCAGGGTTTCCCTGGTGGCGCAGTGGTTGAGAGTCCGCCTGCCGATGCAGGGGACATGGGTTTGTGCCCCGGTCTGGGAAGATCCCACATGCCGCGGAGAGGCTGGGCCCGTGAGCCATGGCCACTGAGCCTGCGCGTCCGGAGCCTGTGCTCCGCAACGGCAGAGGCCACAACAGTGAGAGGCCCGTGTACCGTAAAAAAAAAAAAAAAGGGCAAATGACATGAACTGACACTTCTCCAAAGAAGATATACAAACGGCCAATAAACACATGAAAAGATGCTCAGCATCACAAGTCATTAGGGAATTGAAAATCAAAGCCACAACAAGATAACACCTTACATGTACTAGGATGGCTATAATCCAAGAAAAGAAAAAAAAAGGAAAATAACAAGCATTGACAAAGATGTAGAGAAACTGGAACCCTTGTATGTTGCTCAGGGGAATGTAAAATGATGCAGCTTCTCTAGAAACCAGTGTGGCAGTTCCTTCAAAAGCTAAACATTGAATTATTTTATGACCCAGCAATTCTACTCCCAGGCATATATCCCAAAAATCAAAAAC